GTCGTGCACTTTGCCCTGATTTTAATCATCAACCATTTCCAAACAAATTCACGGCTTATTTACTGTGTAGCGGCTAAACAGGAATCGCAGATCGGTTGGACCTGTATCATACTAAACCATCTCCTCCATGTTGGAGTTACGAGACTTGTCTTGACATCCTGACTGAGCAGATGTGAGACAGACACACACAGGTCCAAACCGCAATTCTCCGACTGTAACTCATGTCTGCCATGTCTACGTGTGTTATGCTGGAGTTTACCATAGAAACGATTGAGAGAGAGAGAGAGAAAAACTAATTTCGACAGGTTTAAGATTTAGTTTAACCCGTTAAGCCGACATTTAGCTCATACTTAACATATGAGCAGAGGCGGACAAAGTACTCAACTCCATTACTTGAGTGAAAGTAGAGATACTGCTGGTCAAATATTACTCCATTACAAGTAAAAGTTGTAAAGACAGATTTTTAGTCAAGTAAAAGTACAGAAGTAGCCTACTTGCTATTAAAAGTACTTAAGTACCAAAAGTAAATTTACTTTCTTATGTCAATGCACTGTTTTATTGTTTATACTTCTGAAGCAACTTAGAATACATTACACCTGCTGAATACAGTACAGTGAAATCCTGTAAATACAGACTGATATGGAAGATAAAAAAAAACCTGCTTTAAAACTCAGCAACACACCTGTAGCTGTATAACTTTACAACAGCAACACTGCTTTAACAAAAAAGCAAAACAGCAAGACTTATTTGACATCAAAACAAACATTTTAAAAATGCTGTCTAAACGCTCTCGCTGTATTTTGATGTCACACACAGAACAGTCTGTGCAGTTCTGTTTCAAGTCCAACACCTATTGTGTTTTATTAGGAGATGCACAACAGTTCTTCTGTGGCTTTATAGGTAATATTTTCACTTACACAATTTAGCAAAATCAGACAATATTGTGTGTAATGTTTACCACAATATTAACTTCGTGTTATTGAATTGTTGCATTTGCAGCTGGTCAGTGTTCAAAAAATGCTGGGAAATCTCTTCATGTAGCCC